TTTGTTTTTTTTGTTTTTTTGCCTGTGAAATGTCACTAATGTGACCTCGCCTTTGTTAAATTTGTTTGAGCTTTACACAGATAACATTATTTTCACAGAAAACACCCATGTTGTTTATGTATTGTTGCTATACTATTGAAAAAGTGTGCATTTTAACATTTTTACGAATTGGCCCAATTCACATCATTGTAAGTATCACTGCAACTTTTGGCCTTCATAAACAGTTTTTTTTTCACATAAACAAATGGAACGAGACACATTGTAACTCCTACAACCTCATCATCTGCAGAGAGAAACTGCAACTCAATCACACCAAAATACACATGATGGACTCAAAGGCATCATAGTGGGTTATGAAAATACAATATTTACACTATTTTCTGTTACTATTTTGTTTACTTCTTTAAGTATTTATTCATGTTCAATGTCAATTGTCATTTATTAATTTATTCTACTAATAACTGTTGTTAGAGCACTGTCATTTTTGTTATAATTTTACATGTCAATAAAAAAATCAAATAAAAGTACCTAACTGACACAACATGCTGTTGCTGATTTTATGTAAAACCCTAATAGTATAGAAAACAAAATATAGATAATATAAACTAGGCAGATAAGGGGTAAAAAACAATATGAATAAATAATATATGCAAATAATATAAATGATACTAAGATTAATTATATAAATACACTAATCCTGTATACTAATAAATCATGGTTCTTTATGCAACCCTAAAAAGGGTTCTATTTAGGACCAAAAATGGTTCTGCTATTGTTACAAGCTGAATAACTTTTCTGGTACTGTTTAGAACAAATTTTCTTAAGTGTGCTGTTTAGTGAGCTTAAATTCCTTCAGTATTTTAGAAGAGGTTTGCTTTCACTGTGCCAGCCTGAGAGGTTTCATATGATGCACTGAAATCACATCCGTTTCAAATATATGAAATATAGTGCTGTTTTTATCTCTAAGCTGTTGTTTTTGAAGAAACTTTTTAGTCTTTATATGTCTATGTTTTCCTTTTGCCTGTTTGTGCTTTGCTCTGTGTCTGCTGTAAACATTTCCCATGGATTGACGCAACACTGTGAATGCTTAAATTAAATTAGATTACAGCCCTTCCATTTTTACCCCACGAATTTGTGAACCCTCGATGTTATTCATAAAACTAGTTTTGAAAACATGGTTTCTGCCTTTAATACAAAATAGCAACATCATTATCAGTCAAGAACGAGCGTTGTGTTGTGCATACTTGTTGTAAAATTGGCCCTATCCGCAAATTGCAGCGCGAGGCATTTGGAGCACTCAAATAAGTGCTTGGACAATCAATCCTGGACTCCCTCAAGCAGCCAGAGCGATACAGGTGTCTTCAAACCATTAGGGCTGATAACACCAACAACTTACACAGCCATGAATTATTAAATATAATAATGGATTATTTATAAAACTAGCCGTCCACGCGGAGCTGAGGCGTTCAGGTCAGTTCGGTTGGGATGGAAATGTCATTCAGTTTATGCTATGCTTCTCATTCGTTGGATTACATTGATCAGGTCATTGGAATACAGGGACTAAAAGGAGAGTGTGGTTGGATGAACAAAGCCAGACTGCAGAATGCTAAGTATGGGTATTAACGTCTAGTGTGTCTCTTCCTCTGTCAAACAAGCAAAAATGAAGAAACTGCAGACCAGCTGAGCGAAAGCTGTGAGAGAAAGCTTAGTGTCAAACTACTTTAAATATGTCAGTGTAACCAGAGAAAAGCCATTTAAATAAAACAACCAGTGTGTGGCTCTCGAATTGTGACAAAGTATTCAAAGATATCTACAGTGTTTGGCGCACAACTCTCATCTTCTGTAAAAAACGTTAAGTGAGACCCATCTCGAGAGATTTGCTTAATAATTTAACACAGCCTTAAACCAATTCACTTCAAGTGCCCAGATGGTGTTTTTATTAGGCAAATGTTCAGTACTCAAGTAGAATAATTTACACACCTTAAAAAAAAAGAAGCCCTACTAGAGTACCTTCAATCTCTGCAAACCACTGAACTCAGAATTATTCAACACATCCTGCTGTGCTGATATTCAGCTCAACAATAAAAGTCTTTTCTGGATATCCATCTTTTTGCGAATAGTTTTGTGGACATTTAGACATTTCAAAACTGACATTGTTTTTGACATCGTGAACTTGAGTCAACCAGCTCTGGTTCCTCCGAGACTTGTGATCAGTCCACAGTGGTTCTTTCTTCGAGTAAAGATGTGTCTATACAATCAAACATGGCACACCATGTGGATGTAGAATTTCCTGCAGCTTGAAGCAGAGAATTCATTCACATTTGGTTGAGTGGTGCTTGCTATCAGTACCTATTATACTTGTTGTTTTAATTGAATGAATTGAGTAATAAAGTTGTTCCAAAAGAGCCTCTTAAACCGATCCCCTATTTAGTATGCACAGAAGAATGTCAAAAAGTCAGGTAAACTAATTGGTCTGTTCTAATTGGCATAAAAGAGCACGTTCACATTTCTCTCATGTTTCTTTTGATTGGATCAGACTGGCGTCGTCCTTCTGATATGGAAATTGAGCTACCAACTCAGATGAGCGAGAAAATGTCAGCGTCATTAAAATGTGGACGACGGCCTTTTGATTACTTTCATTCTGGGCGAAAAGACTGTCACCAATGAAGTAAATTATGAATAACTTGGAGAGCTATATTTGTTTCTCACTGTCTACAACAGTTTACGTCAGATGGGATACAGGTCTTTTACAACTGATCACAGCAGGTTACGTGGCCAACTCAGCTATGATCAAAAGACAGATAAATAAGTGAAGTGTGAAATGGCTTCCTGCGTTGCAGTCTATAGCATGCAGTCGGTTATATGAAGCCTGTAAGACTGACATTTTTGCCTACGGACAACCTGTCTCATTTATTCATGGAAAGAACCAGTTAAGAGTTTACACTTCAGGTCAGAAGCACCATTACAAGAATTTTACCATGGCAGGGAAGACTGGAGAGTGTTTAAACATCTGTAACTCAGTGCTTTTTTTTTTTGCAGCGCTTTATGTCTCAAACTTTTATTAAATATTAATTTGTTGTTTACCATGTATATCTTTTATATTAAATGCTTCAGTTATTGCTGCACCTCCACTGTAATTCAGTTATAAATGGCAGATTCACTAACAGTGTTAGAAGCTTTTGAAATCTTTCTTTCAATGTGTTTAATTAAATGTTTTTTTTTTTTTTAAATAACAGTGGTTGCTAACTATTAGTGTTGGGTAAGTTACTCTACAAAAAAAACCTAAAGATATATTCTTTATCAAAGTGAAGACTCTGCCACGCCCCCCTAAAACGGCTCATTCTAACACGCCCCCACATATCTACCTCACTATGTGGAAATATTTGCATAATGCCGCCCAAATGTTCACGCAAAGAAAGAAGGCGTGGTTTCAGTAACCGCAGTTAGTGTTGAAGCAGCCATGTCAGGGAGACGCTGTGTGGAGAGAGAGAGCGCACGAGAGAGCGAGAGAGAAAGAGAGCGAGAGAGAGAGAGAGGGTCACATTACAGTGGAGTCAGCTGTCTTAACCGTGGCTTGTGTAATGCAAACACATACCAGCTTCATCACTGTGACTGTCACGCGACTCTGTTCACCTTTCGGGCTCTGTCTTTACATTTATTTTGAAAGATGAAGCTTGCGATTATGGTAAGGGGCGTTACATTTCCGACGAGTGCTTGCGGTGTTCGGCCAATCACAATGCACTGGGTCAGCTGGCCAATCAGAGCAGACTGCGCTTGTCGGAAGGAGGGACTTTGTAGAAAACGAAGCGTTTGAGAGAGGCGGGGCATAGAGGACCTACAATAACGTACAGTATTTTAAAAATAATGTGTTTTTTGAACATTAAAGCATGTCAACATATTCTGTTACACCAAATACACAAAAGCATAAAAAAGCATCATATGACCCCTTTAATTGTTACCATGGTAAATGTTCAAACAGTAAAAAAATAAAACACAAATGTTGCTAGTGTAACAAATTAGTTTAATAATTGATCACCCAAACATTCTGAAAATGTTTTGATTGCCTGACATCGTAAGTAGCCAGATTCCACAATTGTGACCCTGGACCACAAAACCAATACATTTTATGGGTCAAAATTAGACAAAATGCCAAAAAGCTCTAGGATATTATGTAAAGATCATGTTCCATGAAGATATTTAGGAAATGTCCTACCGTAAATATATCAACTTAATTTTTGATTAGTAATATGCATTGCTAAGGACTTAATTTGGACGGCTTTAAAGTCAGTTTTCTCAGTATTTTGATTTTTGGCACCCACTGATTCCAGATTTCAGATGATGTATAAATCCCAATTTCAAAAAGTTGACCCTTATGACTTGTTTTGTGGTCCAGGGTCACAGTTCAATAACTTTTGATCACTTCTAACAAAAGGAAAATACTCTTGAGACGTTGTGTATAGTGTAAACTTTTTTTCAAAACAATTTAAACAGAACACTAGCGTTGTGTGGTATGTTTGCAATGTATAAATCTATAAGGAAGTGATAAATAATGACAGTATTTTTTTTTTTGATGCACTGTCCGATAGTTCCTAACGCAAAGCGCTCGAGCAGCGAACTGTTGCTATGGTTACTCCTCAGGCAAACGCTGTTTCCGCGCGTCTATTTAGCGAAAGCTTGTAATCTAACTTTTGCGCTATAATTATATATCTAAAAATAATTAGTGTCTTTAAGACCCCCACAAACCTTAATGAAGGTGGTCAGACCCCGATGAATTAAACCCCTCCCCATTAATTCGCAACCTGACTGCATCCGTAGACTATTTTAATCTAAAGTAGATATGCAGAATGTACACAATACCTGCCTGTTTAACTGTCAAGCGTGCTGTAGTGCGTCTCAGTGTGTGTCTTTAAGTAGTACGCTGCGGTAGGAGGAGTTGTAGCAGTTGTGACGCCGCGCGCGGAGCCGTGGTGCTGAGCTGAACAGCGCCTGTCCAGCTGCAGTAGGGCACAAGACCGACCGGGACAATATTCTCTCGCATCGCTCAGCGGAACCCAGCAACCGACAGCACGTCTCACAGGAATTATCTTCACGTTTGTGAATAGCAAACATCTGCCTCCTCTGCTGATGGCCAAAATGAAAACCGGCTGTGCGATTCTTGTGGCGTGTGCCTTAGTTGTGGGCGCCTCTTTGGTAAGACTAAATGTTTTAGGCTATTTACAAACACTCTGGAAGTAACACTACTTGAATTCAGACAGACCGTGCGGAACAGTGCACTTGTATCTGTGCGTTTTATACGCGTGCTCACTAAAATAATCTAGTGGTGCATCGAGCGTTTACTCTGTCTGTTTGGAAATGCAAAATTGCTTTCGTAGCACTTCTGTAACAGTCGTTGTTTTTTTCCTTGAAATAACATCCAAACAAGTAATTCAGTTTGTGCTGAACACTGCTCGTCTATCAGGAAGCTGCAGTGGCTTGCAGCTGCACGTTTAACACACATTGCAGAGGATGCGGCGATGCCTGTGTTGTGTCTGCGAGTAATAGTGCTGCTCTGTCCTTACTGGAGGAATATGTGAATATGCATATTAATTGTATTCCTATTAATATTCATGGAATATTCATTAATATGAACGTCAGGAATAATTTAACTTGTTGGATGCTAGAGAACTGGTTGCTTTGGTCAGTGGAATTAGGAAACATTCATATAGACGCACCAGTAAATGAAATCTAGAAAGTGCTGGGGTGTTGAGCAAATATAAGTTCTGGAAATAAGACATATTGCTGTTGGTTGTGGCAGATATTGACATTCTCTTTGATGACTCATTCAGAATAAAATCTGTATCCAGCTGGGCGTGAAATGTAGCTATAGAGCTGTATTCACATGGTGGGCAGAGGCAGCGCTGCTTTAGAAAGTAACCATCTCACAGCCCTCTGACTAATGTGATATGTAGGGATGCTTTGACACAGACCGTTCGTGGACGTATGAAAGAGCTTAGTGCGTCAGCTCTTTGTTGTCTGGATTTTTCAGGTTCATAGTTGTCTGTGTTTCAGAATGGTAAAATATAGGGGGAGAGACCTCTTAAGGCAACCTCTCGTTCGGTTCAGACACAGCCGATGCCTGAGCTTGAACCGTGAATTGCTTTTAGAAAAGCCCACTCACTATATTGAGACTGGCATAACCTGAATATGACCCACCATCTAATTATGCTAAATCTCCATGGTGAGCACTATCCATTGATGCATACACACACACTCACACACACTCTAGGTCACTATTCTAAAATAGATGCCACTGTAATGGGCACAATTTCTCTACTGATTTACATGGCAGAACTCCAGCACAACTTTCTTTACTCTGCATTTCCTGTCTTCCATCGCGTCCCCCTTTTCTCCCTCGGTTGGTTTTAATCATCAAACAGGCTCGTTTAGCTCTTGTTAAATTTTTAGAGAAGCTCTTGATGTTTTCGTTTATGTAAATTTCTTTAAAACCACCATTAGGGCATAAGAATGCAGGCCTCTGAATGTGAATTAAGAGAATCAGAGATTTGCTGCTTTTGATTTAGAATGTGTTGATTGGCATGGAACTATTGAATATTCAAATACTCTACTGGACTGTAGTAGTGATTCGTAACCAGGAGTACGTGCACAGCAGAGGTTATTTAAGCAGGTTTCAGTGGGTGCTTGGAAAGATTGAGATGTTGCTTTGTTAGAGCTACAAAATAGATTTTTTTTTTAACATTTTAAATGCTTAAATAATGTAATAACAATCACAAAACAACTAATCTTAAAGATTAATCCAGCATTTTCTTTAAATCATTTAATATTATTTTGTTCTACTGAAATTAATTACTCATATTGACTGACTACAGTGATTATAATATAATTTATTAAAACAGACTTATTCATAATTTTATTATTAAAGATGTATTAACTCACATTTTGGTTTACGGTTTGGTTTATGGTTTAATTGTTAAAAGTTAAAATTTTTTTAATAATAATTAAAATGACTCATTTTGATGATTAATTTCAAGTCTTCTTTCAGAATCTTTTTAAGGAATTAAAGAAAAAAACATTTTATACATTTGTGTTGATGATATTCATAACAGAATATGTTTTATCCCATATATTTTATTTCATTTTATTAATTACTGATATTGACAGACTAAAGTCATTATAATACAATTCATTAAAAGTGACTTAATAGTAATATCAATAATAAAGCTAAATTATATCCAGTTCAAAGGAACATTGATTAGGTTGCTTGAGTGGAGGGTACATAAGACAAAAAAAAAGGTATTTAAGTATTTAAACATGTCTATTCATTCCTAATAGTAAAACAACTGCATCCTTGCTTTGTGAGTTTGCCTCCTGAAGGTATTTATATCGGTTTCGATAACCTTGAATAAGAACCACAACCCTGTGGTCACAAATCAATTTGCCTAACCACTTCCCCTCTCCTGTGTCTTCATAGCCAATAATGTCTGTCTTTCTCAGGGGAGTCACGGGAACGCTCAGACCATCGCTCCATGCAGACCAGGTTTCTCCCAGAGTTTCTACACCGTATTTGTCCCCAGGGGTGTGCTGCAAGGCCTGAACATTCACAAAGGTAAGAGCTTGCAGTGCATTGCACAATTCGGCACTGGTTTAAATGTGTGTGTGTGTGTGTGTGTTAATCTCAGTGGAGCTTTAGCAACAGGTTTGTGGGTGAATGTAAATGCTCGTGCATCACTTTCTCTCCATCGTTCTCTGTGTGTAGGCTAAATGTAATATGTTAAAAATAATTCTAGCTTCATTATTGCACATTTATGGAGAATAATTCCTAAGTAATCAGAAGATTTTGTTGAATATTCTTTGGTACTCTCACCTATGCAGTAATTTACACTAGTTGTGCATACTGTATGATTCCTCAAAAGGTGTTAACAGTGATCCAAAACCAGCTTCATCCGGCTTTAAAATAAGCACAGTGCGGAATAACAAGCACAAATAAACGGTTTAGAAAGGAAGAGCGGTGATGCAGATATACCAGCGTGTTGAATGTTGATAGTACACACAGGACCAGTAATGCAATTAGAACACGTTTAAAACACACAATGCCTTTCAAATGCCATTTTCAAGGTCTGCAAAACGTCAGGTGATGCATTTAAAGAAACACATCCACGCTGTGCCAGAAACTACGCTTCCTTCTTGGTGGGTGTCGAAAGCGTATACACGTTCCTAATCATTGAGAGCTACAGTTGGCACACGTCTACATTAATAAAATACACAAAACCAATGTCTCCTACAGATCACAATCAATATGCATATTATTCAGCTTTAGTTTTCGACTTTCAGACAAACCCTTGCTGGATGGTTAAAAACATAAATAAATAAAAAAAAGGAAAGAAACCCATAATCTGAATTTTATGGATAGTTCAGTGGCCCGGCTGGCTACAGAAGCCTCATTTAAATCTTCTGTTCGGCTCCTGCTGGGTGTTTTTGCCGCTTTAAGCTTTTTTTTTTGCCCCTTTAAGCTTTTGCCCCCCCCCCCCCGCTCCCCCTCTGTCCTGCGTGTAATACATGTCCTCTATTCTTTCCCACTTCTTTTCAGCAAGATTTGAGCCGTCCTTTTATTCTGTTGCTTTTCATTGTCATTGTACGTGTGTGTGTGTGTGTGTGTGTGCGCGCGTTATGCAGGGGTATGCTTTATCTATGGAATTTGTTTTGCTGTTACGGTAGGAGAAAAGATGTCGGGGTGGGGGGAAATTGGACTTGCAGAAACAAATCATACAAGAAAATGGCATATTGATTCAATGTATTACCAGTTTTTTCCCACCGCATTCAAACTTTGATTGAGTATTACTGTTATCAGAGTAATCAATGGTTTTATTCACATAAACGTGGATGTGCAGAGGGAGATTTATTTGTTGTTCTCAATCTGGCTGCAACTTCTGCGCTGATGCGGGAACACGAAATCGAATCTTCGCAGTAATTGCGCGATCCGTTTTATCATTTACATTTTATTTTTAATACTTTTGGAAACGTTCCTCGTTTACAGTACGTCTAAGATCTGTTTGTTTTGATTCCAGCCTGTGGGGGTGTTGAGGGAACATTGTCAGTCATTGGCATGTCAGATGTGTTTGTTACACAGCAGGTGGAGTGTTGGCGTGCGTGTCCAAGTGCTTGCGCATGAGTCAATCATTTTGTTTACTCGCGGATTTAGATATGAGCATTTTGCTGGGATCCACTCTCGAGCCTGTGCCCACAATATCCACCAGCCACATTTCCTTCAATATCCAATAGTGCACTCTTCATTTTAAAAACACGCTTACCCCAGCACAACTTGGCACTTGGGTGTATATCGTCAGGCTGCAGTATGAGCCCTTATAGAGAGTGATTAATGTACAGTCACCGGCCTGGGGGAAGGGTGATGTGTTCAGAGGAACCGTAGTAATCAGGGAGTGGGGTCGCCTCACAGGGACATTAATGATAACAGTCTTGTGTAACCCAGAACCGTCAAAGGGGAGAGTAATGGGTGAGCCGGTGCACTCAGTAGGGCCAGCGAGCATCAAGTCGAGAAAATCCAGCGTCAATTTAGCCGTGATTGTAAACATTGGCCTGACACCTCGAGAATGCTAATGCTGAGGTGGGAATTCTCAGGAGTGCGGTGTGGTCTGAGAGTTGAACTCGGCCGAGGAATCGAGAGTAGAAAGTTCCGCTTGAGTTGCTTCCATAACTGTTTAATATGGTTGCGGCGCACTGGGGTGAGAGTGAGCGATTCATCTCAGTTCTCTAGGTACTGCTTAGCATTGGTCTCTAAAGGCTGGCCATCCAAACAGAATCAGATATGACTACTCTTTCATGGCCAGAGCAGTCGGGGTGTCTGCCAGCTGTCCGCTGGTCTCGCAGCTGCTTGCGATGCAATTTGCTGATTCCGTTTAATTACGCCGCTAGCTTGTTGTGTTTATTTTCTATTCATTTACAAAGGTGTTTGTTCGTGCCGGGCTTTTAATTATAGCAAAGTTTGGGTATGATGACAACAGCGGTGCATTTATACCTATTATGCTCTAATCCTCGTGATCACTTTCATTGTACTTCTATGGATAATGAGCCTATTAAAGACAAGGCCCTCGAATGAAGTCGACCGGAGTGGTTATAATTCAACCATCCAATGTTTCTAATATCTTTACACAGTAAAAACAGACAGCGTGAGTCCCTTCAGGCGCTCTGCCTCGCTAGACGTGATTCATCTTCACTCAGCATGTGAAAAGATTCATCATTAATGCTGACAAAATATAAATGCCAGGGTTGTCACATATTCAGCTGGCCTCAGGAGCATATGAAAGGCACCCGCATGACCACGGTAAATAGGTATGGTAAGCATTTGTGTTTTACATGATTGGATTCCGGATTCTAAATGGGAAGTTTTGAACCGCGTGTAACGTTGACTGATGTTGCGATCATTTAGCGTGGCTCGTTATTGCGGTAGGCGGTCTGGCTCAGGAGAAAATGATATTTTATGAGGTTTTATTGTGTTACGTCATGTCTTCCTGCATTTATGCAAACATTTATAGACATATAAACTCATGCATAAACGGCCCGTCTTGCTGTGTTGACGTGTACGGTGGGGTCCAAACGTTTGAGACCACTCTGGAACAATTTAAAGGAACAAAAGAGCGTTATATACAGTCCGTAAAAACAAGAAATATGTAAAGATATATGCAAATTTGATCGTGTGTGTAAATGTCACAGGTCATGAACCAGTGGACATGCTGCTGTCATGGTAACACTTTACAATAAGGTTCCATTTGTTAACATTAGTTAACTCCATTAGTCAACATGAACGTACAGAGAGAAATATTTGTAAATGCTTAATTTATACATTATTTAAATCAAAAGTTGTATCTGTATATATTATTTATTGGACGCGAGCTAACATGAACTGCTGTATCTGTATTTATTATTTAACTAACATGAACTAACTGTTAGCTAACATAAGCTAACATGAACCAACTGTTGTATTTGTATTAATATTAACAAAGGTTGATACATACTGTAACAAATGTATAGCTCACTGTTAATCATTGTTAGTCAGTGTATTAACTAATATGAATTAATAGGGACTTAATGTGTAAAATATTAAGAAATACAGAATGTATAAATATACAGTACAATGTATTTAGGTATATTTTGTATATTGTACATTTTTCACATGTACACTTTGTTTATAATATATTTCTCCATATTTTTATCTTTTTTGTAAATTTATAGCAATGTTTAGCTTACTTTTTTTTAACAAAACAAAATCGATTAGAAATTAGACATTTAAAAAATGTAAACCTTTTTTCAGTGGTCTTAGACTTTTAGACTCTTGATGTTGATGTTAATATACTGTTCAAAAGGCTGTGTTTTTTTAATATATAAAAAATACAGTTAAACAGCAATATTGTGAAAAATTATTACAATTTAAACTGTGATTTCAGCATTTTTTGATAAATAAAAAGTTCTTAATTTTCTCAACTTAATGCATCTTTTCCAGTCAGAAGTATTAAAAAAAAAAAAATAATAAATAAAACTTTTGAACGGTAATCTACAGTACAATCAGATCAGTATTGATTTACAAGAAGAAAACATAAGGATTCATATACAACATACAAAACGTTTATGAGAGTATATTGTCCATGAAGACGAATGGAGCATTTGAGCGTGGGCCTTTTTCAGAGCAGGACCCCACCTGAGAGACTGATATTCCGCTGATTGCACATTGTAGTGTAAACCATCATCTTGCCTAAGAGCAGGATCAGGCACTTTGAAGCCAAGGACAGAGAGATGGAGATGGGGGGAGGACAGGTACACACTCACACACAAAAGAACAATCTGATTTGAGTTGCACTTACCCCTAAATGGTGGTCTGAAAGGATGCTGTCAGAATGTGTTCAAGAGAACATGAGCGATGAACCTCAGCGCATAACCCTTTAATATCCGACACAGTGCTGGTGGGAAATGGAAGTCAGTCGCCTTTGCCGTTAGTTCAGAGGCGGCCATTAATCATCTTAATTACTAGTGCTTATGCACAGTCAGAGTCATTTGACTTCTCTGGCAGATTTGTGGCATTTGCAGTGCCACAAAATATAGTGCCTGCTTGGATTTCTTAGATATTCTACATATATACCACATTTTATCATCAATAAAATATAGTAAGGCCCCACTTCAGATGTCCTTTCGCTTTAAAAAATATGCCTCTTCCACAAGGACATCCATTAAATCCAAATGCACAGACAACTTACGGCAGTTTCACAATAAAACCAGAATTAGGACTCCACCTGTGAGATGGAGACGCTTGGCGCTTGGACTCCCGGGCTCTCTCTCGGCTTTCCAGTCGTGTCTTAAAGTTTACCTCATTATCTAGCAAACACATTGCTCTCCATACTTACACCGTGCTGTGGAACCTCTCATGGATACAGACATTCACAAAAGCTCATTAGGATGGTTCTGCTTGAGCCCTGTGTGTAGCTTTGCAGTCACAAACACAACAGGGTTAAGAGTTTATTATCAAATGGAACATTTCGACTGAATTCTGATTGGATGAGCTGGATTAAATTCAGTCTAAAAGAGTAAAATTAGTCATAA